GCCTATTCTACACTCTCTACTGTTTACTACTACTGCTAACTGTTCACTATACTACTAACTACGCACTCCCATGACCAATCCTAACACTAACTTTCTGTTTCCTAGCTCTGCAAATTACGACCGTCTCTGACCGCTTCCTAACACCTTCTCTACTCTTCGCTAGCTACCTATCAACTGCCGCTAATCTCTCTACTACTGACCCACGCCTCAGTGGTCAGCTGACCGTCCCACGTGACCGGTCAGCTCCTGTATTTCCATTGGCCTCTCCAACCAACCAACTAGGCCTATAGTATGTTTCTGCTAACCTATATCTGCTAAACATGTCTGACGTAATCTTGCGTCATCACAGGTATCTTACTCACATTAGGAATAGTAAAGGCATAGAGCTGACCACACTATTCCTTCACAGGTCACAGAAATAGATGAAGTCTACTGGACAGTGGGTTCAAGGGGGTAACTTTCTTCATCTCTTGTATTACATGAGCTGTTGTATTACATGACCATTAGCTCTTTTATTAAATAATGGCTGGTACCAAGAACGTCTCAAGTTCGAATCCGGGTCCAAGACAGTAGAACGTACTTGAGTCCACCAAGCTCTGCTAAAGACATTAAAGGCAGCTGGGCTAAGTACTGACCACATCTCCTCTTTAACAGTGGCTCTGTTCCTCAAGGAACCAAAAGGAAAAATGAAGATGATGATGCGGATTTCTTATGATTATCCTCACTCCCCCCCCCCCCCCCCTCTCATGCACACACAAATCAGCACTCGCTTCAAACAACATCTCAATTCTCTTTTCAATACGATCATTTTTTTACTCTCACCTTCTTGTACACTCTTACACGTCTAACTTTATGGACACGACTAGAGTGACAATTGTGGCAAATGTGACATTGTGTCGACCAACACCTTCTTCTCACAATCTCATTCCCTGACATCAAGTGACGCACATAAATCTCCCCCGTCCCTGGCTGATTGTCTGCCACTCAATCCACCAATCAGCATGATTTTCACGACATTTGCAACATACCCCGGGCATGGCTCCTCTCCATGAGCCCGACATTTACAACATGCCCCGGGCATGGCTCCTCTCCGTGAACCCGACATTTACAACATGCCCCGGGCATGGCTCCTCTCCGTGAACCCGACATTTACAACATGCCCCGGGCATGGCTCCTCTCCGTGAACCCGACATTTACAACATGCCCCGGGCATGGCTCCTCTCCGTGAACCCGACATTTACAACATGCCCCGGGCATGGGCCCTCTCCCTGAGCCCTGACAACCTGTCACTCACATCCGTCGTTGTAGGTTTACAGCTCTGGTTTTAGCCGGTACCACATCCGGTTTCTGTTCTCGTAGGTTCTACTGCTTCCGGTTGTCAAGATTGCATTGGAAAGAAATAAGTAGCTTTTCGTTTCTTTTTAATTTATAGTTTTCAGCAACGATAAATAGACTTATTCCAACGTGCAAGCCAGATAAATCAAGCTATTTTTCTAACTAATTTTTTTAAAAAGTGTAGAGAAAATACTTATCATCATCTTTTCCCTTTCGGGCTCAAGATACATTGGGCAGATAAAGTAGAGTTCATCTGTTTCTGTGACCTCGGCATGTAAAGGGATAGTGTGGTCAGCACTATGCCTAGCCGCCTTTACTTTCCCTAACGTGAGTTAGGTACCCATCTGAGCTGGAAGGACTCTGGGACGGTCTACTGACTAGCACCCAGATTCAATCTCGAGACTTTCGGATTAGCAGCCCAGCTCTCTACCGCTAGGCCACGGCCGTCCTTCGACAATACTAATACATAGAATAAAAAACCAGTGTTCAATTTACGATCATCCTACCCCGTACAACAAAGTATTAAAACACCACACTACCCCAATCATGTTGTATAATATGCGAACTGTATCTTACCAGACTTTAAGATCGTTTTTTCCGTATAGATTTACGTTGGCAGAATATTATTTCTCTTTGTATAATTACAGTGGTTGATTGAGTTGAATCATTAATTAGTGACGTGTTGATACAACCGTAACTAACACCAGCTCAATGTGTGGCAGGTGGCTGGGTGTGTTCATACCCCCCCCCCCCCCAACTTATAACCAGGTGTGCTGAAGACACTCATGGAGACGGGGGTGTTTTGTTTGCTTGAGGCAATGCATGCCTCGGTGAACGATACGGCTCGATGGCTATACAAAAACACCTTGGCCACAGAAATAAACAATCATAGGCAGCTAACGTGTAGAACTAATTAGCTTGACGAACTAGGCGATTGACAAAATTATTATCGTAAACTGTGTCCGTGTAAGCGGCAAACCGGCACTTTATAATCAAAGGCAGCTAGGCAATTAACAAAACAATTATCGTAAACATTGTCTATGTAAGCGGCAAGTCGGCACTTTAACATCAAAGAAAACTCACTGATGCAAAGATGTGGATCTAAAGACATCGATCGCAGAATGTTCTGGAGATTTACACCAGGGGTTGTTTACGGTCAATCACTAAACCAAACAGGGACCCCACGCACATAAAGGTAAATTGTATCAAGGATCATTAAACCGCTGCATTGAACCCAGATTTAGTGTTGGGGGGGGGGGGGGGTGGCTTTGGGTAATAGTTTAAGGTAAGTAGAAGATATGACGTAAGGAAGGTTAAAAAATTTAGACAATATTTACCTCCGCCCCACCCCTCTTTTTTACATTGTCCCCTAACTATACATCATGATTAGAAAATAAAAATCGCAGCAATTTATGTTATATGAAGACAATTTACCAACGGAGTATGTATGTTTACTCGCAAGGTAAACAAGCGTAAGAACACACAATTCAAAGTCTAATTCTCATTGTGTAAATATACGTGACACTCCTAATACATCAGACATAATAAATAAATCAATAACCGTTTAGTTTTTGAGGCATTTTAATTTTTTTTAAATTCGAGAACAGGTTTTTATTCATACAGAATTCTCATATCAATTTAACCAAAAACAAACATCTCAAATGTAAAGGGCACTTGGTACATCTCAGAGCATTTCGAGATAGTTAAAGTCACATTTGGGTTAATCTTTCATGGTAAAACACATCAGCGGAAGACATGAAATCTATTCTTAATGGGACCTTTATTTAGTACCATCGTGTTATTTAGTCAGTAGTCGAGGTCTAGATTAGAGACGTGCCTGTCTTAAAGGTAAGGTAGGGTTCTGGATACACGGGTCAAATCTAGTTGGTCTGCCCGCTTATCAAGATTACGGGGGTTCAAAACCTCTGCAGTCGAGATTATTTTGAACAAACTACAGCCGTGTGAGACTAGGTATGATGGTACTGGGAATGTCAGGATAGACGCTGTGGACTTATTACTGACCAATGAGAACATTATTTTTTAAAACAAAATTTGTACAAGAAATCAATTAGTGTAAAATAATTGCAGTGGTTTAAGTTTAATAAACAGAAGTAGCAGTTAATTTAATTTCTCATACATACGCATTCAAATAACATAACACGTTTTACATTAATAGCATGCACTCGGATTGAAATAACAAAATGTTTACAGTAATGGCATACACACGCATTAAAATAACAAAATGTTTACAGTAATTAATGTAAAAGCTGTTCTCTAGGTTGGAATATGCAATATAAACTAGTTGATGGCACTGACTAACCCACACACCGCAGTGAAAGTACATAGTAGAATAAAAATATAAACATTAGAGATCCGTTCTGTTGCTTTGTCTAATGTTACAAGCAGTGGCGGATTGAGCGACGGGGCTGACAAGGCAGCAGCCAAAAGGGCATCTAAATTTTAGTGGTTTAATGAGATTAAGCTATATCTATAGCATGACATACATACTCTCCGTGATATAAAAAGTCACGGTTGCAGAATACATTTAAGAGTTGGACAATTTTTAGCCTGTGGCTCCGACCAAGCTAAATCCGCCTCTGCTTATAAGTAATCTTGAACATGTATAAAAATATTAAATAAACAGACATGTACAATTATGTTGTAAAAACATAAAAAGTTAAGTTATCCAGCGAACTTGGAGAAAATAAAATTACGTATTGTATATATGATTTATTATCTAATCAGTAGTATGTGTAAATACGATCAGTGGCTTAAGGCTCTAAAATCAGTTTTTACAATCTTCGATGTAGTTGGCTGGTTAGTAAAAACTTCATGGATGTATTAAATTCCTCCGGATACCACGCAAGTGTAACGCTAGTTTTATGTGTACTAAGTACCAACGATCACGGCCATTAGATAACTTATATCTTCGTCTTTGTGTAGAACGTAAACAGTCAATTTTAAATACTAATAGAGTAGGTTAAAGAACAAACAACAATATAAAAGCATTATACACTAAGCACATCTTAAAATCTACATCTTACTTACTGTTAAAATAATGTCTAAAGATTTAATTCTATCAAGTTTACATCGGAAATTAATTTTAAGAAACGTGGCTAGTTGCTAATTAGGCTACCTATAAAAACAATTGTGGCTGTTTAAAAAAACATGCCAAGTACTTACATAAGCAATAATTTTAAGACACAACATTGTAGTTAGACAAATACAATCAGAAAAGAACAATAACAACAAGTGAGATATAAATAAATATAATCACAGTTCAGCACAGTTGTCGGTGTAGGTCATTCTGCAGACTCGATTACAGTCAAAACAATTACTCGATACTAAATCGGATAAAAGAAAGTCAAATAACGAACAAAATATGAAGCTTGAATACACATATTTTAGTGCGTGTGAATAAAATAATGAGCCTTGTATATTTGTATCGTAGATAAATAATCTTCGCCAGTTAACGTTCGCGATAAAATATTCTTGTTTACATTTCATATATATATATATATATATATATATATATATATATATATATATATATATATATATATATATATATATATATATATATATATATATATATATATATATATATATATAAATATATATATATATATATATATATATATATATATATATATATATATATATAAGGATTCCAATAGTACACAACGAAAACATGATTGCAATAGACCGACTGATCTATAAAGCTTAACGCTATTACAGAAACATGAAAAATAAAGCAGAAGTTGAACACAAATATGGGCATAGATCAATACAAACTAACGTCATCAAATTTAAATCTTCTGTTTGCACTAAAACATCGTTTTGATACTGGCATTAGTTGATATAAGCAGAGCTCGGCACTTGATTGGATTAAAATGATCAACATTTAATAAAATTAATAGTTTTTTAAAAAGATTTCACTAGTGTAAATATTGTTGAATGATTTGTCTGTGTGCCGCCTTAAAGCCGTGCTGTAAGGCATCACAGGGATTGGTCAGTTTTTGTTTGACGCTGTTCAAGCGGTCACCTATTGTTGAAGTTGTTGAACCTGGCCACAACGTCCTCGACCGACTCTCTCTTGGTGGACCTCCGAGGTTCCCGTAGCGACCTGCTGACGAAGGGGTCAAAATCTGGGTCCTGACCCGTCTCGGCTGAATGGTTTCTCAACATCTTGCGGTACCGACGTTCAAACTGTCGCCTCAGTGTGTTGTTCTTGTCCACCATGGTAGATTTACTTCTCCCTAGTTTCGAAGAGTTGCCTTTTTTCTTCCCGCTTCCGTCTGCGGATTTTTCTTTCACCGGAGTGTCGTCAGCGGAAGCTCCGGCTTGTTTAGCGGCCGCGTCTTGAAAGGCTTGGTTCTCCAGCATCAGGGAATACGGCGAGTCGCTTGCAGGTTGGATGGGTACGTCGCTATCTTCAAGACCGAGAGATCTCGACGAGAGATAGTTGGCGCTGCCGGGGTAGATAGAGTTCCCCGGCTGCATGCTGGCGGGTCGGCTTTCTGTCGAGCTCATGTACTCGTAGTCTTGGTCTGTCAGGTCTTCGTCAAAACCGTTGGACAGCTTTTGTAGTTTTCTGGCGTACTCCACGATATCGCGAATAGCTTGTTTTTGGTTGAATTTCTTCTTGTCAACTTTGAGCTCGGTAGAGGCTAGGATATGCAAGAGAGTGCCGTATCTGTGTCTTAACATAGCAGCGAACTGAAGCAGGAGTAGAACAGCGAACACGCTGAGAAAGATTAAGCCCAGAGGTTCTATACTCAAGTACCCGCCGCCGTATTTCGGGATCTGCAGACTTATCTTGTCCTTGACGCGCTGAAGCATGAAGATGATGACCATCCAGAAGGCGTTCATCATGAAAAACGCGAACGCGATGTTGTTTCTCATGGACTTGAGGTCTACGGTGATTTTGGCCTCCACGGCTTTATCGGGGTTGATGGGGTGGAGGTACTTGGCTATACACCTCTGCCAGAACTCGATCTCTCTCACAGGTAGGTACTGCACCTCACCGTGCTTCAGACCTGGGTCTTCCAACCACCGTGGGTTAATGAGCTCATCACGTTCCTCCTCCATGTAAATCTCATCTCCAGATAAAGATCCAGAACTGGATGAACTCGCGTCTCCGTTTTCGGCCTCTTCCTCGATATCGTTGATGTTGGACTTGTTGGATTTCTTGGAGTGTCTTGATCTAGATGATGACCTCTTGCGGTTGTGCTGAAACGCTGTGCTGCCGTTAGTATTGACGGTCTTAATTCCAGCTTCAACTTTATCCAGTTTTTCAATCACCTGTCTCAGAATTTCCGTATGCAAGTCTTGGTTCCCAGATCCGCATAACCGCCTTAGATATCTGAAGAATCTTCCGCAGCAAGCGCTCTCTTCTTCTTGGCGATGTATCCAAGCTGAGATGCCGCTGTTCTTGGGCGTCAGCCGCTGCTGCATTTGGGCTTTGATCTCCTTGGCTGAGGTCTCGCGAGTTCCCCAGGAGACGACGTGCAGGTTACACATGGCGTAGATCATCAGCAGCACGTACCCAGAAGGCAGCGCCAAGAAATACAACGCCCCCGGTAGCAGGCAAAAAAATTCCTGAGGGTGGAACGACGCCGAGACGATGAAAATAGCGATCATCATGATGAGGAACAAAGCGTTAGGGCTAATGATGGTGTCCTCGGATATCTGAACAGCCGTGCCGACAATGACAGCCATCATCAGCAAGGAGTAGATGGCGCTGAGGACGGCAGCGATGGTCAGCTGGGTGTCCGACTTGGTGATGAAGCACAGGATGAGGAAGACGGCGATGGGTCCGACGATGATGAGGTAGGCGAGCCAGAGGTCAATGCTGAAGACAGGGTTCACGGCGCCGGCCATCATGAGCAGAATAGTTGCAGGTCCCAGTACAGTAGACAACATCAGGAGGCCCTAGAGGAATAGATGAAGTCATACGTCGTGTATTTAGGATTAGATATAACAAGGGTATAACAAATGATTAAGGTTGATATACCTATATCAATTGAGTTTAGACACCATCTACTACGACGTTTATGTTAAAGTCGAGAGAATGTGTTTATTTTGAACCGGTATTACAAACAAAAAGATACCCATTCTATAACTAGTCATAGCTGTAACTATTCCTACAGCCGATGAATCAGCATTATTGTTTTTTTGGCAACAATTTATTTCTAACAAATAATGTAAGCTAAAAACATCTTGGAAGAAGCATTGACGTTAGATGTAGTGTAGTTCTTTTAATTAAGTTAAATTAATTAGTTTGTGTATATTATAATTGTTTTCCACTGTTTTCTCCGTAATTCTTGAGGTGATCGCCAAACCATGTCCTATCCCTTACTTTAATGTAAACCCAGTCCTTAATCTAAGCTTAAGAGAACAGTCGTTTCAATAGACAGACTTAAGAAACATCTATAATGAAGAAATTAACTTCTATAAATACACCACAGGCGTATTCTACCACACACCAGGTGTAATGATCTGGTAATGCCGTCTATAAACCAACGAATGACTTACCTGGTATGCCATGTACAGGTAGGAGATGTTGTCGTTGGCGGTGACGGTCGTACGGAAAGACTGCAGCAGGTCCATGATGTTGGCCAGGGTGGAGGGGATCCAGCGACGCCTCTGGTTGAAGAACTCCTTGAAGGCTTCAGGGCAGTGGGTCATGGCGTCAGAGGCGGCGCAGTACTCTACCTTGTAGCCCTGCTGGAGCAGGAGCGTCGACAGCCACCTATCCTCCCCTGGTGAAGTCAAAAAGTTTGATGAGACGTGAGTTGAGGAGAAGATACATTTTATAATGCTCTATGATGCTAAGTATATATTTTAGAATAGGTTTTTAAGATTTTGATAGGTAAGGCAAAATGTACTTGTTTTGTTTCGGTAAACTATTATACGAGTGTAATCAGAGTAATAATAAACGTAATAGGTTTTAAAACAAATTGACTTTTATTTTGATTGTCATTTTGTAAGGTTTTCTTTTGGTAACGTGAAATAGTACTGTTGAACTATTATTTAAAGTAGCACATTAAAAACCAATAAACCACTAAGATGTTGGTTATAGGCTTGTTATGTATGGTTGTATACAAATGATGAGAAAGTAGAAAACTGAAGACTCTTTCTGGTTTTACTGAAAGATACTGTCTGACATTTAAACATTTTCTTGCTCGAACTGTAGGTAGTGTCTGTCTTTGATCGTACTGCAGGTAGAACCTGCCATGTTTTACCTTGATCGTACTGCAGGTAGTGCCTGACTTACCTTGATCGTACTGCAGGTAGTGCCAGACTTACCTTGATCGTACTGCAGGTAGTGCCAGACTTACCTTGATCATACTGCAGGTAGTGCCAGACTTACCTTGATCGTACTGCAGGTAGTGCCAGACTTACCTTGATCGTACTGCAGGTAGTGCCATGACTTACCTTGATCGTACTGCAGGTAGTGCCAGACTTACCTTGATCGTACTGCAGGTAGTGCCACGACTTACCTTGATCGTACTGCAGGTAGTGTCTGACTTACCTTGATCGTACTGCAGGTAGTGCCAGACTTACCTTGATCGTACTGCAGGTAGTGCCACGACTTACCTTGATCGTACTGCAGGTAGTGCCAGACTTACCTTGATCGTACTGCAGGTAGTGCCAGACTTACCTTGATCGTACTGCAGGTAGTGCCACGACTTACCTTGATCGTACTGCAGGTAGTGCCAGACTTACCTTGATCGTACTGCAGGTAGTGCCAGACTTACCTTGATCGTACTGCAGGTAGTGCCACGACTTACCTTGATCGTACTGCAGGTAGTGCCAGACTTACCTTGATCGTACTGCAGATAGTGCCACGTCTTACCTTGATCGTACTGCAGGTAGTGTCTGACTTACCTTGATCGTACTGCAGGTAGTGCCAGACTTACCTTGATCGTACTGCAGGTAGTGTCTAGCCTCAGAAGATTTGGTGGCGTAGGTCCTCATGACGTTGTCGTCCATCAGCGCTGACCCCCTGAACAAACTGAAGCACCCGGGGCTACACAGAACACAGCCCAACATGTGCTCGGCGGCTTTCTGCAGCCAGTGACCGATGGCGTACTCAAAGACCTGGTACCAGACCATGGCACCTGCAGGCAGAAGGTGAAATACAGGTAACATTGGGAAACATGTGAAATACAGTTAACATTGGGAAACATGTGAAATACAGTTAACATTGGGAAACATGTGAAATACAGGTAACATTGGGAAACATGTGAAATACAGGTAACAGTGAGAAACATGTGAAATACAGGTAACAGTGGGAAACATGTGAAATACAGGTAACAGTGGGAAACATGTAATACAGGTAACAGTAGGAAACATGTGAAATATATGTAACAGTGGGGAAAATGTGAAAAAACCCTGTGAAAAATCAAAGCTTGTATGTAAGTTTAACATTCCAAAATGTGTATAAAATGTATTACAAATACTAAAACTGTTAAAAAGATACAAATCATTTTAGGTATGGTACTAATAAATCACGTCAATTAGTCAAACGAGCACCAAAACGGAAAAAAAGAAACACAATATAATTCTAACCACGACTCAATACTCATACTCAAATTACACGAACATACGGTAGAGCATGTTTTCAAATGGATTATCGTTTAAAACATTCAGGTGTGTTATTTGGTATTTAGCGACCATGTTAGCGTTACACTGAACCCCCCTAATATTTAAATTTCCCATTTCAGCTGCTTTACTTTCCTTAACTAGAGTCAGGTACCCATCAGAGCTGGGTAGACTCAGGGACGCCATGCAGTCTCGAGCCCTGACCGAGATGCAAACTCGAGACCTTCGGGCTATCAGATGAGCGATTTATCGTCCAACCACGCCGTCCCATGCGTCTACTAGACTCCCCCCCCCACAATATAACGTGGCATAAACCTACCACCATGTTAACCTGATCCAATTATATAACACTCAACCCCCTATCACGTGACTTCCACTAGCCCCCCCCCCCTATGTTAACCTGATCCAATGACGTAACACTAAACCCCCGTATCATGTGACTTCCACTAACCCCTCCCCCCATGTTTACCTGATCCGATGGGGTGGATACGACCACATGCGGCCCCCACCTTCTTGTTCTTCCTCATCCTGTCCACCAGCAGCTGCACGGCGTGAGGCTTGAAGTCCACGTCCCCGTCTAGAGCCAGGATAAAGGTGTTCTCCGCCTGGGGACAAGGTCAAGGCGAGGTCAAGGTAAGGTCAGTGTAAGGTCAAGGCAAGGTGAAGGCAAGGCCAGTGGAAGATCAATGGTAGCTCAAGACAGGCTATGGCGAGGTCAAGACAAGGTCAAAGCAAGGTCAAGACAAGGCCAAGGCAAGGTTAAAGTCAATGCAAGGTCAAAGCAAGGTCAAGGCGATGTCATAGAGAAAAACAGTTTAACAATAGGTTTAGGAAACATAAAAGGTGAGGAAATAGTACACTTGCAATACCACTCATTAACAACATTTAAATGAGTAGAAGTAGAATTAAATTTCTAATTTAGAATTTAGGAGGCAGTCCATTTTGTTCACCTTGCGAGCTGAAGTGATTTTATGTTTATCTTTCACACGCTTAATTTTGTGTACTAAAAACCTAGGCGTGTGTACAAAAACCTAACTGTATGTACAAAACCCCAGGTGCCCCAGGTGTGTGTACAAATCTCCAGGTGTGTACAAATCCCCAGGTGTGTGTACAAAACCCCAGGTGTGTGTACAAAACCCCAGGTGTGTACAAATCCCCAGGTGTGTGTACAAAAACCTAAATATGTGTACAAAACCCCAGGTATGTGTACAAATATTTAGGTGTGTGTACAAATCCCCAGGTGTGTGTACAAAACCCCAGGTGTGTGTACAAAACCCCAGGTGTGTACAAATCCCCAGGTGTGTGTACAAAAACCTAAATATGTGTACAAAACCCCAGGTATGTGTACAAATATTTAGGTGTGTGTTCAAAACCCCAGGTGTGTGTACAAAACCCCAGGTGTGTGTACAAAACCCCAGGTGTGTGTACAAAACCCCAGGTGTGTGTACAAAACCCCAGGTGTGTGTACAAAACCCCAGGTGTGTGTACAAAACCCCAGTTGTGTGTACAAAACCCCAGGTGTGTGTACAAAACCCCAGGTGTGTGTACAAAACCCCAGGTGTGTGTACAAAACCCCAGGTGTGTGTACAAAACCCCAGGTGTGTGTACAAAACCCCAGGTGTGTGTACAAAACCCCAGTTGTGTGTACAAAACCCCAGTTGTGTGTACAAAACCCCAGGTGTGTGTACAAAACCCCAGTTGTGTGTACAAAACCCCAGGTATGAGTACAAATATTTAGGTGTGTGTACAAAACCCCAGGTATGAGTACAAAACCCCAGGTATGTGTACAAAACCCCAGGTATGTGTACAAATATTTAGGTGTGTGTACAAAACCCCAGGTATGAGTACAAAACCCCAGGTGTGTGTACAAAACCCCAGGTGTGTGTACAAAACCCCAGGTGTGTGTACAAAACCCCAGGTGTGTGTACAAAACCCCAGGTGTGTGTACAAAACCCCAGGTGTGTGTACAAAACCCCAGGTGTGTGTACAAAACCCCAGTTGTGTGTACAAAAACCCCAGTTGTGTGTACAAAAACCCCAGGTGTGTGAACAAAACCCCAGGTGTGTGAACAAAACCCCAGGTGTGTGTACAAAAACCCCAGGTGTGTGTACAAAACCCCAGGTATGAGTACAAATATTTAGGTGTGTGTACAAAACCCCAGGTATGAGTACAAAACCCCAGGTATGTGTACAAAACCCCAGGTATGTGTACAAATATTTAGGTGTGTGTACAAAACCCCAGGTATGAGTACAAAACCCCAGGTGTGTGTACAAAACCCCAGTTGTGTGTACAAAACCCCAGGTGTGTGTACAAAATCCCAGGTGTAACGTGTTACCTGGACCAACACACGTTCCGGGATGTACTTGAAGAGGTTCCCCTTGATGAAATGGCTGGACGTGCTCTTCCACTTCTCCTCCCTCTCCAGTGTTGACGTGTTGAACGACTCGTCCTGTTGACCCAACAGACGGTACCCCAGCAGGTAGTACATGTACATCACCTGAATTATGGGCAAAAACAGTTTCAACTTATTTTTTCATGTCTTTAGCATACGATACTGCTTTGTGTTGGTGTTAAAATGCGTGTTTAAAATAGTTGCATTTAAACATTATTTTCAATGAATTTTGAACATCGACAATGTAGATTGTTAATGCTTTAAAATAATTTTCAATGAAGTTTAAACGTAGACAATGTAGATTGTTAATTATTTAAAATGCACACGGTAAAGCAACATATATGATAAATTCGGGACGAAAACAAGTCGGTTGTATTAAGTAATGGTCGATAACCAAGTATTTTTAAATTTTACATAAGTAATTTAGCATTTGTTTCCCTTAGTATATAAATTTTTGTTTTCCCCGAGAGAATTGATAATTTTTTTCCAAGCGTTTCTCACCTGTGACCAACGTTTCTTGTGCCTGATCTTCTGCTTGTCCTTGATGTGAGCGATCAACAGGTTCCCGCCTGGCAGGGTCCATACCAGACGACCTCCGTAGGGGGTGGGGATCTTGACAGGAGGCAGTAGGGTGATCTCAGACTCGTGGATGGCACTGAAAGATAAAAATAGACATTAAATTATTTCCGAAAGATAAAAATAGACATTACATTATTTCCAGCTTCTTTAATACATATTGGTGGGGGAAAATATTAGAATTTAAGCTTTTGAACTTAAATAAATATTAAACATTTATGGGGGGGGGGGGGGGGGGGGGACAGTAAATGGTGAAGTAATTTTTTTTGCTAAAATTTAAAATACATTTGGCAATACAATGACTAGTTCAGGCATACGTTAGGTTTATGTGGATTTAAAAAAAAAGTAATGCTAGATAAGCATTAGAAAGAAATAAACTTTAATGATGAAAAATACAATCAACGAAAAAGGAATGGCGTCACGGAATTTATTGTATAGGAATATTTGTGCTATTACTCCTTTTTTTTTAGCTGCGTTTTTTTTTTATGTTGGAAGTGATTCCATCCAACACAGTGGCGTAGCGAGGTCGGGTGTCACCCGGTGCGGCACTTGATGGTGTCACCCCCCCCCCCCCCCAGAGGCGTGGCGACCCTTCCCGGGGACAAACTTTCTAATTTTCGATTTGCACCACCCCCATCAAGTTTTCGATTTGCACCCCCCCTCTCAAGTTTTTCTCTATATATTTTGCTATTTTTTTGCCTTGGTGCCACCCCCATAAAAGGTGACGATGAGTATGTAGAGGGTGGGGTTATAATTACAAAACTGGGTCGAGGGACGGTGAACTGATTGCATGGGTCTATAAAGCACACACAGTGGACTTTCGCTCCAAACTCCAAACTTAAAATAGAACTTAAAATAGAACTTAACATTTAGGGCTATTAAATACACATATGTTAAGAACTCAACTGTGATTAGAAAAGCTTAGAATAATCTAGAACATAGTGGAGAGTGCATGTGTGAGTTGAATTAACCCCTGGGTGTTTATATATTTTTATTCAACGTTCGAATGAGGGTGTAAAAACTGAGTGAACGATGATGAGGGGGCTTTTTGGTAGCGACTAGCATAGGGTACGTGACGTTGATTGGTGGGAAACGTTAACTGAATCAAACTACTTGAACTATGTAGACGTTGTTGTGATGAATAAAAGCATCTCGCGACAAACTGCTTCATTCTGTTAAAATGACCAAATTTTAAAATACTAAACATAATATTTTAAATTCTAACATGAAGTTCGATCATTATTTAAGTTAAAAAAATATTTAGATTTTTTTCAAATTACAAAAAAAAAAAAAAAAAAAAAAAAAAAAGTCGATTGACGTACGTCGTAGGGTACAATTTAAAACAAACCGAAAGTCCTGGGTTTTCCCGTACATTTGTAGGTCACCGTGTCTCGATTACATAGTTTCCTAGTTGGATGAATTTGTGCGTGTGTGTGTGTGAGTGAGAGTGCGTCTTTAAAATTCGTAATTAGCTTTAATTGACATATAAAAAGGTAATTAATACCAAGCTAATTTTACCTTAATACCTAACGATGCGGCGAATTTAAATTATGACGGTGAGTATGTAGAGGGTGGGGTTGTAATTACAAAACTGGGTCGAGCGACGGTGAACTATTTCGCGATTTCACGTTTCATGTCAGGTCGACATTATATATTGTCACTGGGGGGTCAAATTTACAGGCTGGTTTGGGAAGGGGTCGGGGGGGGGGTCAAATATACAGGCTGGTTTGGGAAGGGGTCGGGCGGGGGGGGGGGTCAAATATACAGGCTGGTTTGGGAAGGGGTCAGGGGGGGGGTCAAATATACAGTCTGGTTTGGGAAGGGGTCAGGGGGTGGGTCAAATATACAGGCTGGTTTGGGAAGGGGTCAGGGGGGTCAAATATACAGGCTGGTTTGGGAAGGGGTCAGGGGGGGGGTCAAATATACAGGCTGGTTTGGGAAGGGGTCAGGGGGGTCAAATATACAGGCTGGTTTGGGAAGGGGTCAGGGGGTGGGTCAAATATACAGGCTGGTTTGGGAAGGGGTCAGGGGGGTCAAATATACAGGCTGGTTTGGGAAGGGGTCAGGGGGTGGGTCAAATATACAGGCTGGTTTGGGAAGGGGTCAGGGGGGTCAAATATACAGGCTGGTTTGGGAAGGGGTCAGGGGGTGGGTCAAATATACAGGCTGGTTTGGGAAGGGGTCAGGTGTGTGTGGGGGGGGGTCAAATATACAGGCTGGTTTGGGAAGGGGTCGGGGGTGGGTCAAATATACAGGCTGGTTTGGGAAGGGGTCAGGTGTGTGTGTGGGGGGGGTCAAATATACAGTCTGGTTTGGGAAGGGGTCAGGGGGGGGGTCAAATATACAGGCTGGTTTGGGAAGGGGTCAGGGGGGGGGGGGTCAAATATACAGTCTGGTTTGGGAAGGGGTCAGGGGGGTCAAATATACAGGCTGGTTTGGGAAGGGGTCAGGTGTGTGTGTGGGGGGGGGGTCAAATATACAGTCTGGTTTGGGAAGGGGTCAGGGGGGTCACATATACAGGCTGGTTTGGGAAGGGGTCAGGGGGGTCAAATATACAGGCTGGTTTGGGAAGGGGTCAGTTGTGGGGGGGGGTCAAATATAGAGGGTGATTAGGGACTTTGTGACTGGCTTATTGAGGTGGTGGAGGGGGTGCTAGAGGAATTGTTGTACATGTTATTTTGTTTAACGTCGCTGATATAGTCAAGACCATTCGAGTGATATATTTAGACACATTTAATTGAACTTTATTTGAACAACCAGCCCTTTTACAGCTTAGTCTATTGGTTCAGATAGGGATTGGCCAAAAATAAAACATGAAAGAGATCGATTTTCAGCGATGCATAAAAAGCTGTAAATTAAAGGACCATAACTTAAAGGAGTCACCCAAAATCGAGTGGGATGTAGAGGAATGGTTGCGGCCCCTTGCTGCACAAGCGGTCCACAGAAATAATGATGCGATGAACACTTGTTACCAAATGTAAAAATCTATCATGCAAATCGCTATTTGTAAAACTTTTCTGACACAGGTACACATTAAAATAATGCATTTTTTTTTACCGAGTGCTAAGCTATGCTTTACTTGGAGGAAAACTTCAAAATAAAAATAACAGAGCATAGTTAATTACTGCATAGCCGTGGAGTTGCGCAGTCAACACACGGCTATGTTACTATAGATGTGCTGTATGAACACACGGCTGTGTAGGCACAGATGTGCTATGTAGGCTTAGCTGTGCTGTGTCAACACACGGCTATGTTACCATAGATGTGATGTATGAACACACGGCTGTGTAGGCACAGATGTGCTATGTAGGCTTAGCTGTGCTGTGTCAACACACGGCTATGTTACCATAGATGTGATGTATGAACACGGCTGTGTATGTAGAGAAGAAACGTGTAAACTGGGACCGTGCCAGTTGCGTTATGACGACTCCCTGACAAATTTTGGTGCAATGCTGGCGTAACTAAAAGGGGGGGGGGGGGGGGGGCGGTGGTCTAGACTGAGCAGAAAACGTTTGACGTTCACGCCTTAAACAGGGACACGAATAGCGCGTTTTTCACATCTCTGATGCCAGACCAACTGACGCGTGAATCTACTCATCAACCTTATCCCAATAAAAAAGTTAAGTATTCTAAATGTAATAGATGGGAGAACTAGTAGTTGTCTTATAGGTAGGACTCTTATGTGTTTCTTTTAGACTTATTTACATCGGGGGAGGGGGGGTGGGGGCACTTGAAACTTACGTGCGTCGGGAGGGGGCGGACTAAATTTTCCGGGGGGGGGGGGGGAGCAGAGTTTATATAATTTATATAGAAAATATATACTTTTAACAGTGTCCGCCCCCCGAAGAAAGTTTACCGCCCCCCCCCCCTCCGAAGATTTCAAGTGCCCCCCCCCCGGAGAAAAAAGTCTGGAAGAAACACTGGGGGGGGGGGGGGAGCACTGGTAAGAGTAGATATTTTATATATATTCTATTTTGTTTTGCTAAAAATAAATAAAAATTTAAAATATTTACAATAGAAAATTCTACAACCTTACACGTAAACAGATTACTAACTTTTAAAAAAAATATTAAACTGATTGTAACTAAAACGTTGCTTTTATTTTTAGACGCTGTTAGTTTTGTTGTACTATAAAGCTAGACCATCGTGAGAATGTATTTCTGTTGATTTAACTCCCAATCCTTTCCATAGAGATTTGATTCAACTGGAGGAGAAGGGTGAGGTGAGGACTGTGTGTTTTGTAAGACGCTGTAATGGACGGTTGTGGGAGGGAAGAAGGGGGGAGGGGAGAGGGAGATGTTTCCGGTATGACGTAGCTGGGCAAGCCATCTGTGGGGGGTGGGGTCTGGTGTATGTCAACAAGCGGAGTGGTATAGTGGGGGGGGATTTGGTGACAAATGTTTTAGTCGTGCGTGGTGAGGGTTTGTTGTGGATTGTGTCACGTCGTGTAGAGGGGGTGTGTGTGTATGTGTGTGTGTGTGTGTGTAGGGGTGGTGGGTGGGTTGTAGTAGGTTGGGCGATGTGGTGAAAAGTTAGGATGTTGTGGTGTGATGTGATGGTAGGTTTGGTGATTGTGAAGGTAGGTTGTATGATGTTTATGTGTGCGATGCTAGGGTGGTGTTGAGTGATCGTTGTGGTGTTGTGTGAGGTGGAAGGTTGGGATGAGGTGTGGTGGTAGGTTGACGTGGTGTGTGATGATAAGTTGGGTGGTGTTGTGTGTGATGGTTGTGGTGTTGTGAGTGGTGGTATGATGTGGTGTGGTAGGTTGGGCGATGTATGAGGTGAGCAAAGTCCCAATTCGAGAAACTTCTGCCTTAATGTTCTTGAGTAAACTATTGCTATGTAAGCAGGTCCGGGGGAAAAACATATTGAAGCCGGAGTCAACGGGCCATATTGCACATTACATTGCACATTACATTACACATTACATTGCACATTACATGTTCCTATGTAATTATGTTGAAAGAAATCCCTTCCAGTGTAAGTTCGATACGGTATGTGTAGACCTACCCTGTTATAGAAGACACCAATACTTTTTTGTTTTAAGTTTAATTTTTTTAAAATTTTAATTATGCAGTGTGGCAGTTAAATCCAACGAATCTAATAAAGTATCCATAATCCACAGATAAGCAAACAGACAACGGATCCACAGATCAACATAGAACCAGCATAACTATGTGGGTTAAGTGGGACGGTCTGCTATTTGCACGGTAACGTGAGAGCACACACACAGTCTGTGTTGAATGAAGACATGATTAAAGAAGGGGCAGCACTTTTTAGAGTGGGACAAGAGGGTGGTTTTATTAAAACACGCAGAGAAATGCTTTTCGTTGAGTGTCAGGCATGGTATCAAAATGTTGGTGGTAAGTGTCGTAGTGTGGGTGTCAAAATGTTGGTGTCAAAATGTGGGTGTCAAAAATAAGTGGGAAACAGAAGACGGGTGCCAATGGTGGATGTCAAAAACTGGTTGTTCAATAGGTTGGAGAGGTTGGCGGTTGTCCGGATACTTGTACGGGCTATGTATTGCATTGCATTAGTTACGTAATTCAGGGTGTTTAGAAAAAAAATGTAGTCCTTGGTTAAGCTGATTTTGATTTAAGTTTGAGTAAAGAGAATAAAGACTTAAAAAAAAATCTTTAGTTTATAAAAGTTTAAAATCTTGAAGTATCTTCATGCTATTTTAAAATCAATTTAGTAATTGTCGCATTTATCCAGCGGTAGAGTGTGATACATGCATTGTGTTTAGAATAATTTAAATGCAATTTACGAAAGCTATTTACACAATTAGTAAAATTTGAAAATATTTCGTACATCTGTATTATGCTTTGTATAAGCTACAGTGAATGAAATGCTACACATGTAGCGTAAAGATTAATCTTTAGTACAATACAATTAGCTTCTTGCAGGGGAATAATATTTTGTACTATGAGGTAAAATTAGGATGCTTCTAGCACACAGAGCTAGGTTTAGTGAACGAGCTTTGTTCACTTAAAGATGTGCTTAGAACAAATAACTATCCACAGTATAATATACTACGTGTAGTACAGAGAGATATTCCCACCACATTGAGTTATGTTTAGTACACAGAGATATTAACAGTACAATATACTACGTGTAGTACAAAGAGATATTCCCACCCACATTGAGTTCTGTTTAGTACAAAGAGATATCCCCCCCCCCACATTTAGTTGTGTGTAGTACAACTGGTATCTGCTGGTGAAATGCCTAACTGTTTAGTACAACTGGTATCTGCTTGCTGAGATGCCTAACTGCCCACAAGAGGGATGGGGCGCCAGGTCTAAACAAACACATTAACACCAGCGTGAACAAAGTGTTAGAATTTGCATGGAAGTTGAGTGGTTGTTGACGATTTGATGTGTGCTGGACAAATGCATGTGTTGGGGGGGGGGGGGGGGTGAGTGGTGGTGGTGGGGGCAACTTGTGTGGGGGAGGGGGGGAAGATCATACCCCATAGATAACAGTACTAGTGGTCACGGGAGGGTGGGTCGAATTAGTGGACTTAGAGTGGAGGGAGAGGCGGACAGTGTTATGTAACTAAGCTGAAATAGCCCGGGATTTGTAGACAGCAAACACAGCTGTTGTTTACATTTTTTTCTAAAAAGTTGAACGTGTTAAGATTCTAATGAACAGCGAAACAATCCAGAAGGTTTTAGTCAGTACTAAAATTAACATATGTTGCTGCTGATACTTTACAATCTCAACAATGTCTTATATTATAATATAATTATAGACGTCTATTATACATTAAGATACCAAATACTGTTATTTTATCGTCTAAAATTAACTAGATAGAAATTACAATGCATAATTTTTAAATTAATTGGTCTTGCCAATTTAGCTTCGTTAATTAAAGATTTAATAAACAAGATATTGTTTCAAATTCCTTTTCTTAATTACAAAATGTGTGGTTATGTAAACGAAATGAACTTTATCAAAAGTGGCAGCTAAATATTATACAATGTTGAAATAGACGCTATAGGGTTAAGGGGGAACAATCCAAGTGATTTATTTATTCTATTTGACAGATGGCGGGAGTTGTCTCGAGACTGTACCACGTGACAAGGGTCACATCACTGACAGCAGAACTCTGGACCAATTGTGGATGGGTCTAAATTGGTGCTCGTAAGTAGGTTAACAAGCTGTCAATCACCCGTCAAGGGGTGTGCCGCGCATCACTGATCAGACAAGTGCGACAAGTGTACAGACATTTGCCATCATAGTGAGGGTAATGTCTGGTCTACATGTAAATACGACACAGGGGCTGGTGTGTGTGTGTGGGGGGGGGGGGGAAGGGGGAAGGGGAGGAATGGAAACTTTAAAATAAATGTATTAAGTATACAGTGTGTAGAGCACAATGATGGAAGAAATTAGAAAATGAAACATTGGGATGGAATATTTGGCACGCAGAGCTTGATGGTATCGGGTTTTGTGGTGTTAGGTTTGGTGGTGTGATGTTTGGTGTTGTGATGTTTGGTGGTGTGAGGTTTGGTGGTGTGATGTTTGGTGGTGTTAGCTTTGGTGGTGTGAGGTTTGGTGGTGTAATGTTTGGTGGTGTAATGTTTGGTGGTGTGAGGTTTAGTGGTGTGAGGTTTGGTGGTGTGAGGTTTGATAATGTAATGTTTGGTGGTGTGAGGTTTGGTGGTGTAATGTTTGGTGTAATGTTTGGTGGTATGAGGTTTGGTGGTGTGAGGTTTAGTGGTGTGATGTTTGGTGGTGTGAGGTTTGGTGGTGTGAGGTTTGGTGGTGTGAGGTTTGGTGGTGTGAGGTTTGGTGGTGTGAGGTTTGATGGTGTGAGGTTTGGTGGTGTGAGGTTTGGTGGTGTGAGGTTTGGTGGTGTGAGGTTTGGTGGTGTGAGGTTTGCTGGTGTGAGGTTTGCTGGTGTGAGGTTTGGTGGTGTGATGTTGCTGATGTGAGGTTTGGTGGTGTGAGGTTTGCTGGTGTGAGGTTTGGTGGTGTAATGTTGCTGATGTGAGGTTTGGTGGTGTGATGTTGCTGATGTGAGGTTTGTTGGTGTGATGTTTGGTGGTGTGAGGTTTGGTGGTGTGAGGTTTGGTGGTGTGATGTTGCTGATGTGAGGTTTGGTGGTGTGATGTTGCTGATGTGAGGTTTGGTGGTGTGATGTTTGCTGATGTTATGTCTGCCTCACCTAGCCGCCTCATCCACTATGGCCACAATCTGCTTGACGAAGATGTTCGGCATCCACTCGTTCTCGTCATTGAAATCCATGGCGTCATCCACAAAAATATGGGCTGAAATAATCAAACACAGACTTCAAATACACAACATAAACACAACACTCATGCACAGTATTTTAATATACATTACTTCTCAGTATCCTCTATATAATAAATCTATAAAGTAGTTCTAGAGATTGTGTTATATCAGACGAAAGTTCAATGTTAATACAGATCAGTTTTAAAAGTTAAGTATAACATAAATTATTAAAACAAACACAATGTACACACATCTACATCCACATAACTTCTAAATCGTCATTAAAACAACCACACTGTACACACATCTACAGCAACATACCTTCAAACTTGTTATTAAAACAAACACAATGTACACACATCTACAGCCACGTAACTTCAAACTCGTCATTAAAACAAACACAATGTACACACATCTACAGCCACGTACCTTCAAACTTGTCATTAAAACAAATACAATGTACACACATCTACAGCCACGTACCTTCAAACTTGTCATTAAAACAAATACAATGTACACACATCTACAGCCACAATGTACACACATCTACAGCCACAATGTACACACATCTACAGCCACAATGTACACACATCTACAGCCACAATGTACACACATCTACAGCCACAATGTACACACATCTACAGCCACAATGTACACACATCTACAGCCACGTACCTTCAAACTCATAGTAGTCCGGATCCTGGACATTGAAATAGTCCTGGGCATTTCTTCTAGCGCTCTGGTCAATGTCTAGTCTGTAGGAGGACAAAAAAAAACAACACTTGTCAGATATTAAATGTTAATTTACATTTCAATTACATTCACTTACATCATCTGCTGATTATGTGGGCAACAAAAACTTGTTCTGCTGGTGTAGAGTACAGTATGTAAGGGATCTGTTGTGTGGTTTTTTGTTGTTAATCTATTACAATGAGATTATAATGTGCCAACTTTAAAATATAGGCTAAACTACAACAATAAGGATACCAAGTACCAACTTCAAAATATAGACTAAACAAAAACTTCACAAAACAACGTTTTAATGTATGCACAAGCAACTAGCATTCAGTGAAATATACTTGAATATCCTGAGTGTAGCTTACCTAAGCAGCCCTTAATAAAGTAACCTGCACTAAAAAAAACTAGCAAAAAACCTCACATTTAATTAAACCTACTCAAAATTCCCGGATTGTATGAAACGTATTTTAAATAACCCGCACCAGATGAAGACTACCCTACCAACCGGCAATAAATGTAGCTTACCGAAAAAACCTTACCCAAACATCCCGCACAATCAATAAAGCCAACTCAAATAACCCGCACGAGATGAAGCCTACCTAAAGACAGACTGCAGTAACTCCGTCATTTCCCGCTCCGTCTCGTGCCACATGGTGGCGCAGACGTAGATCTTAGGCACCACCTGCTCCCTCTGACGTCTCAACGTGGCATCGGTGCTGGAACTGTCCATACTGACGTCATCAGCGTACACCATCTCCTGCAGAATCACAATTTTAAAAAGCTAATGTAAACATCCGGTACGACACTTCATGACGTCGTCGTCTAAGTACCGTAACTCAACCAATAGAAAACAAAATCCAGCGTCACCTTGAGAATTCTCTCCCTGTCGTTACGGCGCCTGTTCAGCAGAAGGGATTGTTCAATCAGAGCCCCGCAGTACTGGGGCAGCAGGAACAACCTGGGGGTAAGGACATTCAACACGTTAGCTAAACTTTCCAACTGAACTTAAAGACATTCAACACGTTAGCTACACTTTCCAACTGAACTTAAAGACATTCAACACGTTAGCTACACTTTCCAACTGAACTTAAAGACATTGTACTTCAACTGGATGTTATGATAATAATAGCTTTAAGTACTGACTTGTAGTTATTAAGACCATATTTTGAGAGAGCAATAATATTTTTCTGTCTTTCATTCAGGCATCTCCATAAGACCCCCCCCCCCCCCACCCCACCCTAGTTTCTTTCGCCTCACGGAAGAAATATTAAATTAAAAAACCTTCTAACCACAACCCCTCCCCGGAAAGTTACAAATGCGGCACCACCCAGAGCAAATATTTGAAAGAAACCCTGGTTGGTAGATCTGTCGAGTACTATGAAATATTCATAACAAAGAGGACATATTTTTTTCTAATGGACGTCAAATTCACTGAACTCTCAGTGAAAACAAAACCTTAAGTCACTGACCTCTCAATGTAAACAAAAGCGTAGGTCACTGACCTCTCAGTGTAAACAAAACCTTAAGTCACTGACCTCTCAGTGTAAACAAAAGCTTAGGTCACTGAACTCTCAGTGAAAACAAAACCTTAAGTCACTGACCTCTCAATGTAAACAAAAGCGTAGGTCACTGACCTCTCAGTGTAAACAAAACCTTAAGTCACTGACCTCTCAGTGTAAACAAAAGCTTAGGTCACTGAACTCTCAGTGAAAACAAAACCTTAAGTCACTGACCTCTCAATGTAAACAAAAGCGTAGGTCACTGACCTCTCAGTGTAAACAAAACCTTAAGTCACTGACCTCTCAGTGTAAACAAAAGCTTAGGTCACTGACCTCTCAGTGAATGCCAGACGCGGCGCCTTGGGTGTCCAGATGTAGCGGGTGATCCAGAGCTGGGAGGCCCACCAGAGACCAAACCCCAGCCCCAGATGCCAGATGAGCCAACGTTTCTCCCCACTGCCCTCGGTACACGTCCACTTGAGAAAGCCGGGCATCAACTCCAGCTTACTGCTGTCTAGGTAGCAGATCTGTGGGGAGTATTGGATAAGGTTTAGCAGATATGTTGGGATAGGGATAAGGTTTAGCAGATCTATTGGGATAGGGATAAGGTTTAGCAGATCTATTGGGATAGGGATAAGGTTTAGCAAATCTGTTGGGATAAGGACAAGGTTTAACATATCTGTTGAGATAGGGACAAGGTTTAACATATCTGTTGGGGACAAGGTTTAACAGACCTGTTGGGGACAAGGTTTAACATATCTGTGTTTAGTGTATCTGTTAGGTTAAGGGACATAAGCTGTCCAAACCTACCGTTATAATCGTGGCCACAGATACTGGCGTGCTGAGACTGAGCGGGATGGAGAAAGATATTCTCTGCATGCACAACTTGCACGCCAGCCTGGCGAAGTAGTAGCACAGGCCGGTGCTGAGAATCTGGACGATGGGCGGCAGGTAGGTCTGCCACTGGCGCCACCTGTAGACGATGGTCTTGGTGCAGACGGTCGTGTTTTTTCCCGCCAACAGGATGGTGGAGCAGTTCTGATGGATGATCTCCATGTACATGGATTCTGGGAGTTTGGGCTCGTCTGAGGCGACTTGTGTGATGACGTTGTTGTTGTTGTCGAATGGGCTGGAGGTCACGTTTTGGAGGGTTGGTTGGAGAAGGTTGGGCAACTGTAGGGATACAAAATATGTGATTGATTGTCTGGTTGGATGAAGTTATATTTGAAACTGTAGGAATAAATCGTGATAGATTATCTGGTTTGATGGTAGCAACGTTTAATGAAGTTATATAGGAAACTGTAGGAATACAAACAATGTGATTTATTGTCTCAATGGTAGCATAGTTTGATAAAGTTATATAGGAAACTGTAGGAATAAAAAACGTGAATGTTGCAAGTAATCAACAGCTGGGGGACCCACCACAGACCAAATCCCAGACCACGGTGCCAGGCCAGCCACCTTTTCTCTCCACTGCTCATGATTGCATTAAAAAATCCCCCCCCCCCCCGCGAGCGGCGTCATTTTCAAGTTTAAGTTATAATATTTTAAAAATTAAAAAAAAAATCCATGAATAATTGAACTGCGGAAGAACTGATGTAGATATAAAGGAGTCACAGTTTGAAATTTAAAATTATTGTAAATTTAATTGATAATTTAAAAATCAAAAATGGTAAGACAATTGGATTCTAATGTGAATTCAGAAATGAAACATAATAATAATTCAAAATATATTAAATTAGTTTGTAAATTATGTCTTAATTAATGTTCAATAGTTTTAATACTGGGACAGCATTATATTGAGACCGGCAAAATTAAAAAGAGCTTTCTGTGGCGGCTCCATGTGTCTGGGCATAAAAGGAAAAATATTATGACTACATCGAGACTGTCATTGTGCCGAGACTGTACCTATTTGTTTTCCAGTTAATCTATTTTAAACCGCCAATCAAGACAACAGAAGCAACTTACCAGGTTCTGGATCAAATTCGTCGTCTGCGTCGTTGTGCCGTTGTATGTCGTCTGCTCGGCTGGGATGTTCATGAGCTCACCAAACGCCTTGTGGATCATGGGCAGGTTGGGCACCAACAGGAAGGCCAGGCCGAAGGTCACCCCGACCTTCCAGAGACTGGCCAGGATGTAGCACTTGACCCGGCACCGGTGTAGAGCGTCCTTGTACTGCTTGATGGGCACGTAGATACAGCCTATACGGAGATCCTGCAAGGGTTGGATTGGTGGTGTTATTATTGTTTACATTTTTATATTTCATTTATTCTAAAGGTAATTAACTATTTGATGGGTACATAGATGCAGCCTATACGGAGATCCTGCAAGGGTTGGGTTGATAACGATATATTCTCATTTTAAAGCTCCGAGAAGCGAGTAGACAACATAACACAACAGTTTAGCATTTGTATCGTTCTCATGTTATAAGTCTGATTAACTGCTTGATAGGCTCGTATGTGCAGTTAAAATATAAGTCATGCAGGGGTGGATAAGTCGTGGTATTGTTTCACATTAAATCTTAAGACACGGAGATGCGGCGAAACAACACTATCCCTTAGCCCTTGGAGTAGACTCTGAACCACGGAAGTTGACCCTGGACCCCTGCAGTTGACCCCTGGACCCCGGGAGTTGACCCCTGAACCCCGGCACTAAACTTACCTCGTCACAGAAGTTCTCCCATCACTTGACAGAGATTAGAAACGACCCCGGGAGTCGACCCCTGGATCCCTGGAGTTGACCTCTGGACCCAGAAGTTGACCCCTAGACCCCTGCACTTGACCAGACTTACCTCGTCACAGAAGTTCTCCCACCACTTGACAGAGATTAGAGACGACCCCAGAAGTTGACCCCTGGACCCCAGAAGTTGACCCCTGGACCCCAGAAGTTGACCCCTAGACCCCTGCACTTGACCAGACTTACCTCGTCACAGAAGTTCTCCCACCACTTGACAGAGATTAGAGACTACCCCAGAAGTTGACCCCTGGACCCCAGAAGTTGACCCCTAGACCCCTGCACTTGACCAGACTTACCTCGTCACAGAAGTTCTCCCACCACTTGACAGAGATTAGAGACGACCCCAGAAGTTGACCCCTGGATCCCTGCAGTTGACCCCTGGACCCCTGCACTTGACCAGACTTACCTCGTCACAGAAGTTCTCCCACCACTTGACAGAGATTAGAGACGACCCCAGAAGTTGACCCCTGGATCCCTGCAGTTGACCCCTGGATCCCTGCAGTTGACCCCTGGATCCCTGCAGTTGACCAGACTTACCTCGTCACAGAAGTTCTCCCACCACTTGACAGAGATGAGGAACAGAGAGAGCGGGATCTCCCATGACATGTCTGAGAGTGAGTACGTGTTTTGCCAGGGTGAGCCTTCGTTGGTAGACGCTAGTTCTGTTAGATACATACAGGAGTAATTTTATTATAATAATCGTTTTTATTTAATTAAATAGGTAACTTTTCCACAAATAGATTTTTATTTTAAGATTTTTAAAAAATGTAGGTTTAAGGTTAGGTTTAAATATAGGGAAGCATGAGTAATATGGTTAGAATTTGGCTTAGGGTTGGATATTGTTATTGACGATTCCAATTTAAAGTTGATCTGCGTTGTTACAATCTGAAGGGGAAAATGTACATTAACTTCAAGGGAAACACAAGACCGGGGGGGGGGGGGGGGAGGGAGGGGGGAAAGAGAAAAAATCCCGGGATAACTCGGGGTGGCCCAGACCTGGAGCAGGCGTGCTTGTCTCCCCTGGCACTGAGGGCGTCTTGACACACTCGGACTTCATGGAGGCCAGAACGATGACGTAGGCCGACAGCTGCATCAGTAGGGCCAGGATGTCCAGCAGGATTGTGGCCACTTTTCGCTTCGGTTCGTCCGATCTTTTGGTGGCGAACAACCTGATGACGTAGATCATAACAAAAAAATTGTTTTAAACTGTTATGTGGTGTAATTGTAAGAATTGAAATTAATTTATAAGTCTCCTATTTAGATATTCATTTAAAAGTTTCAGAAATGTCAAATCCTGCACATAATAATCTTTATACGTATTGATTTGATATTTTGTAAAACTATCAAGTATAAACATCAAACATCTAACGCCATAAAGTTTTGTGAGAGTAAAGCACTCATTTTCATGATAATTCACCTTCGCTTTTAATAGTTTATTTTTTGTTTACCGATGTTTTACATTTTAAAATGCTTTTTACACAATTCAAAACTAACTTTTTGTTTGAAAGTCTATAGGTCTATAATTTGCCATATGGCACTGTGTCCATTTAACTTAACACAGCTTAGGTGACGTATCACCTGTAGGTAAAACTAGACTTACCTGAGGATGGCAGGCACTGAGCACAAGGCATTCATGAGCAGAAGGCACCGGACAGTGTCTAGACACGGCAAGACACGGAACAAAAACAGACAGAGACCAAAACTGTGAATGGACTCCACACACAAAACCTGAAACACATAACACATGCTGAATCACCGTTTTTGTACGGGTCGAGTTGCTAGTTCGTTACATTTATTTATCTCTCTGATAATACGCAATTCATCTTATAGGAAACATCGTGAATAAATTAAAAACATTTCGAAATAATTACTAGTTATTTTAATTTATTTGTGCTTAGCATATAAAATACAAAAAAAAAAGCTGTATATATTCACACAACATACAAATATTAAAGTCGATGATACATTCGTTCACTTGTACCATGCTTTGAAATAAACCAAAAGAGAAAGTTTACCCATATTAAGTTTAAGATGGAGGGACCGGGAAGGTTCCCAAACAAGGCTTTGCCGAGGGATTCAATAAAGATGACAAGATAAGGGAAGCAGACGGCTCCAATCAGCAGATACACCCAACGGTCTCTGTTCTCTGAACCCTGGGGACAGAGAGAAATATTCAATTGTATGAATATATATATATATATATATATATATATATATATATATATATATATATATATATATATGTATATATATATATATATATATATATATATATATATATATATATATATATATATATATATATATATATATATATAAATGTGGACATATACGGATATATGTGCATCTACACGTTTTTATTGAGATATATAGACATTGAGAGAACACAAACATTTATCAAATTACTCAGCTAAATTTGCTCAGTAGAAATTTGCGGAGATTTAGCCTTTATCCTACAAACAGGTATATAAATGTATAGTAAATAGTTGTGGAGATTTAGCCACTACTTAGCTGTAGAGATGTATAGTTATTGGAAAAGAATGTAACGATATATGCGATGAAGTTATATAGAGTTGATTTTGGAAATTGCAGATAGGTTCAAGAATACATATGTTTGTATTATACAGAAATTTGCGAACAAATTGAGATATTTCGTAAGATTTGCCGGTACTTCTGCAGACGATTTAAAAAATGTCTTGAATACTTGTCCTAAGGAAACGCAGACGACGAAAAAACAAAAACACACGAGGGGAAGATCCCGCCGAATTAGGAGATTTAGGTAAAACAAGAAACACAAGAAACGAAACAAAACAAGGGAATTTGTTTTGTTTTTTAAAGTATGCGTCAACAGCGAGTCGTTCAAACAGTCACATGAGGGGGGGGGGGGGGGTCGTCGGGTCACGTGACCACTGGCCTGATTAGCTGCACTATAAATAGACTGCAAATAATCCCAATTGGCAATAGAATAGGAGGTAATCCAGGCAGTCAATAGCCCAGCTGAGATGACTGAAGCACATGTGCTGTTGTTTGACGCAAGCACATGTGCTGTTGTTTGACAGAAGCACATGTGCTGTTGTTTGACAGAAGCACATGTGCTGTTGTTTGACTGGAGCACATGTGCTGTTGTTTGACGCAAGCACATGTGCTGCTGTTTTACTGCACCACATGTGCTGTTGTTTGACTAAAGCACTGAGGATTGGTTTACCAAAGTTTAGGTTAAAACTTTCGTTTAGACCCGTCTTGAAACGAGACCAGGGTTGTGCAATGTGTGCCCCGTCCAATCAGAATGAGTTAATTTATGTACCGGAAATAGATTTGAACCGATCAGTAACAAAGTCTATGTACCCCACCATCAACGAGGTTACTTCCCTTCTCTTGAAACCACTTCAAATTTGTGAACCCCAAAGTCTTTGTTTAAAAAAAATTAAATGGACCATTTTTTTATATTTAAAATCAGTATTGTGAATTCTGTTTGTAAATTTTGTTTTTACTAATCCAAATTAATAAAGTTTTTTAATGATTACGATGGAATTTGTGACTTTCTATCTAAAAACCTACGCAGTAAATGAACCATAAATTCAACGGTTGATCAACAGAATTGGAGGCCCACACGTATTGCTAAGTTTAAATATTTAAGCAACATCTTTCTATATGCAACAGGAGACACCTTCTTAATTATGCAGATTTTAATGAATGAAATAAAATTACTCAGTTCTTGTATAGTAAGTCCACTGCAACACTCTATAAAACATCGTGTAAGCTAAAACTAATTAATTAGTTTTGAATTAGCATATTTCTATACTCATTTTACTTTCTTGAGAGTTCAATGACCGTTCATTGACAGTTCGAGGACAGTTCAAGGATATTTCAATGAGAGTTCAGTAACTTTAAATAAGACAGGGCACAGAATGTTTAATAAGATAGGAAACAGAAATTAATTTTAGACAGAAAACAGAACTGTAAATAAGATAGAAAACTTAATTTAAATACGACAGGAAACATGATTTTTTAAAATACGACAGAAAACAGAATTTAATATAAGACGTGAAACTAAACTTAAGACAGAAAACACAACTTGTGATAAGAGAGCAAACTGAACTTAATTTAAGACAGAAAATAGAACTTAATGAGAGAAAACAGAACTGTAAATAAGACAGAAAACTTAATTGAAGAAAGAAAACTTAAAAGACAGAAAACAGAACTGTAAATAAGACAGAAAACTGAATTGAAGAAAGAAAACTTAAGTTAAAAGACAGAAAACAGAACTGTAAATAAGACAGAAAACTTAATTGAAGAAAGAAAACTTAAAAGACAGAAAACAAAACTTTAATAAGACAGAAAACTTAATTGAAGAAAGAAAACTTAAGTTAAAAGACAGAAAACAGAGCTTTAATAAGACAGAAAACTTAATTGAAGAAAAAAAACTTAAGTTAAAAGACAGAAAACAGAACTTTAATAAAAGAAAAAAAAACCCAAAACCTACCAGACTAGCATTCCCAATGGCCTGAGTCATGAGCAAGAGACTGGCCTTGCTAGTCACCGCTGTGGCTAAGACAGCGATGAAGATGATGATGTAGGCGATAACTTTGACGGTCTTGGCCGCGACCTCAAACCAGTTGGTCGTGGTCTCATAGAAGGTCTCGTTTTTCTTCGACACTGACCGGAACACGTCCCACGCGACGGCACTGAAAGATCCAGAAAAATTACTGAAAACTATCTTATTAAAACTTGTTTTTTTTTTGGGCATTATTTTAAAAATATTATCCTCCAATAATCATGTCTGGTAAATTCAAATATTTAACATTTAAACAAGTCCCCTAGAAGCGTTGATATCGAGATAAAACTACATGATTTTTACTTTAAGATCTAGACTAAGGACTTCGGTTTAAGATCTTTGGACTTAAAATAGACAGTGCACGTATTTATTGTGCGTTATATTTTTTCAAATAAAAAAAAACTACATTTTTATTCTTAATAAATACAATGACAATGCAAAAAGGTTGTAATATAATAATAAAATAAAAAATAGTACAGGTCAAATATTCTTTAAACAAATATGTTAATTATCACGCATTTTTAATTATCCTTTAGCAAAGTAGTAATTCATCTTTCCTTTAATCACTTCTAGAGAAACACAAAGCTAACAGATGACGTTTCAATATCCACGGTTATAGAGCAACACGGAAAAAAAAAACCATTGTTAAAAATATTGACGTAACACGGCCGTTCGATAATTAAAAAAATATTATTCACCTATTCAAAGTCTGAGTTTCAAAGAAAATTTTAATCATTTCCCCACACCTGCCCGTCTCCACCAGCGGGGTCAAATGTCAGTGGCCGAATAAACCCGGATTAAAAATTAAACCAGCATTTTATAAACCGGACACCGCGTCAAGGTCAGCGTGACCTCGGGGCGTCCATTTAGCGGCATCTCCTCAATGGTGTAGTTTCTCGCATGGGACCTTTAGGTCAGCGGAGGGCACAGGGAGGTGAGGGGGGGGGGGGGGTGTTGGCAAACACGACGGCGGGGGAGGGGGGAGATATGATCGCCATTTAACAGCCAACTGAAAATGGCCTGGATGTATCCATGAACACACCCCCCATGCGGAGTTCACCTTTGATCCATAGACACAAAAAAAGGAGCAGACGAGGAAAAAAAAACTGACCAGTTGACCATACTGTGAGTACACAGATGGGAGGGTGGGAGTACACAGATGGGAGGGTGGGATTTGTGTGTCTCCTGCCTGTTAAGGGCAGTTTTCAACAGGATGATCTGCTCTTGATTGACTTAAACCCCTTCCCTCCCCTTCATATAATCCCCAGCCACTGCGCAGTTGGGGAAACAACGCAATAGAATTACCTGAACCCACTTCTTTAGATAAAACACAACCAACTATCTGAAGGCTCAATGTAGATAGGACTGACAACAGAAATGTGTACGTAAGATGTTGTAGCATTAAAAATGTTTTTAAAAACGACTAAAATTTTTTAAGGGCTTGTATTATGTTGGATGCCGGATCTCTTAAATAAGCAAAAAAAAAAATGGTTTAGAAATGATTAATTGTGGTGAAATCATATTTATATATCAATCTGTCACCGTAAGTTGTTGTTAATAAATCATGTGGTGAATATGTGTTTACTTTATTGTAATAACGTATTTCGGAAAAAAAAAAATCTACATTGTAAAAACATTTCAATTTAAAAATATAAACATTTTAATAAATGCATCTGATTTTGGTGTATTTTGATGTAGATACTGGTGTGTGTATGTGGGGGGGGGGGGTGAATACTACACTAATTACCCCACACACTAAATCAAACAAGCACACACTGTGTATGCTTGTGTGCATGAGTTTTGTTTTGATTATTAATTCGTGTTAAAATCAAAACGCTAATCTATATACTTTTCTTTCTCCCCCCCCCCCCCTTACGTTAATTTTGTGACGCTTGAATAAATCGCTGTAGCAAGAAAACATAATTTGACAGACAGCAAAATGATAGGATCGTCTCCCGTCCAGACCTAGATCAGTGACCCCCCCCTCCTTTACCTTGCCCACCCCACACATTGACCAAAGACACATACCGGACGTGGTCAAACCTCGCGGGAAATGTCCGGTCCGCTTCCGTGCACCAACACGCCGAATCTAAATTTATCCGATCGGTCAATTCGTTCAGTGCCACGAAAAACGCTGAGACAAAATTCGTTTTTAGAAAAAGACACGGATTTTATTTAACGAGATTGGCACAGAATTGTAATGAAAATGTGAAACTTTCAATCTTTTAGATCTCAAATATGGTTTTATTAACTTGTTCACCACTGTATGTACTTGGGAATTTGATGATTTATGTTAATGTGGGTTTATAGACACTAAAATGCTTATATAAAATAATCTATGATTTAGTAGTATAAAATAAGTGTATCTGCGCTTTATAATTGTAATGTCTAAATGAATATTAATCTAAATCCCCCCCCCCCTTAAAAAAAACGAATAAAATATAGAAAAGTTGACTATCGACGTTGTTTCTTATTCTAGACTCTAGACGTTAAAGGACGCTAAGCATAGCTAAGCATATTTCAACTAATTCGATGTGTTCTGACCTGAATTTAAGTGCGGTACTGATACAGTTTCTTACACATTAGGCACGGAGCTAGCTTAGTATCATAAGCGAACTTTCATAACTGAACTTTATTACAAACATAATTTTGGTGTGAAAATTAGGCAACAACAAGAATAATCTCCGAACCACTCAAACAGTTATATAATTGTTTACAAAATAATTATTCGAACTTTTAAAATTAATATGGTTATAAAAACCTTACTGTTTGATTTTTGTCGGGCTTTACTAAAGATAAGATGCTTTAGATGTTTTTAGTGTTTTCGGTAGCTGAAGAAAATTTATAAAAAGCCCAATAAAAAATGCCATTTTTATTTTGTCACTGGAGATTTAAATAAACATGGCATAACAAGGCCATATGATTTTAATAATAAACCGGGAGTGACCTCCCCTAAACGTTCTCGAATATTCTTATATAAAACAACAGGGGATGGCAACTCGGGATAAAGACATGATTTTTAATCCATTTTTAATTACTTATACTTTTTAAAATAGAATAGAATCTCGTAGAAAAAAAGAATTCTCATCAAGTGAATGCAAAACAAAAATTTATTTAACAAACTTTATCGTTAAAGTTACTACAAAGTGGGGTTTACAAAAGATCGAGCACGGAGTTTCTGTACAGCCGCCAATTAATGTTTGTCGTATGAAACTTATGCTTGGTGAACATTAATAGAAATTTAGCCTTATTATACAAAAAAAAATATGTTCAAGTTATCTGCATTTGTAAAGTTTATACCATTGATTCTTTGTTTTTTGGACATTTTTAAAAAATATTTTTATGAACGTATAATTAAAAAAATGATTTTCGTCCATGTTAACAATAATGATGGAAGGATTTTCGTCAAATTGTTGATTTCCATTACTATTCTAGACTAACTTTTAGTGCTGAACTTAATGCCGTAAACGGACATTTCTTCTTCTTCTTCTTCTTCGTTCTAATTTTTAGCGTTGGAAGGGATCGAGCCTTATCTGCCAGAGGGTTGAACTCGAGACTTTTTTTTCGAATTTATCAACCATGAGCTTTTGCCGACTCGACCACGCCTCCATCACAATTAAGGATACGTGTCAACTGGTTATGCGCCATTGAGGCCATTGACTCCGATTTCAGCCTGCTTTTCTTTTTGGATTTGCTTCCATAGCCTTTGTTCAACCAAGAACAAACTACAAGGCAGCAGTTGTTTCATTTTGGAGTTATCTCTCCTAGAAGAGTTACTGTCCCCAGCTAACGAGCCTCATCTGCTCGAGAACGGACATTTAACACGGAGCTAACTTGCATCCTACAATCCTTTCAATCGCTCTTCTGTGTTTATTCTCGTACGGGGTTGATATACTCTAGTCTTAAAACTAACATTTGGCGTAAAAATTAGAGTGTACTACACAGACTTAAAGAATTTTATTTAGTATTTTAAGCAGCAGTTTAGTGCGGATTGCCTAAGCGCCTTAAACATACATTCGATGCGGGACTTAAAAACAGAAGTCTTGATGCTGGACTTACTTTGTGTCTTCCATGGTGGCGTGCCCCGATAGGTTGGTGATGTTGGTTGTTGCTGTGCTCTCTGACGCCGTCGTGTTGGATTTCTGAGAGTTGCGTCGGTGACGCTTGCGTCTGCGTCTGTTCTGAGTTCTGGCTTCGTCGTCACTGCTACCCACTGGGGTTCTCATGATGTCACTTCCTCTGGTGGGGGGAAAGGAGGGGGGGGGGGGTGGAGAGACGTTTAGCATTAAAATATAGGCAGAATGACATATCTCAAGATGTCACTTCCTCTGGTGGGGAAGTGACATTTAAAAACTAAACTTTAAGCTGATGACATATCTAATTATGTCACTACCTATGATAGAGTGTAAGCTATATTTACAACCAATGTGAATTATTCTACTACATCATACTATTGTAATAAAATTTATCTTTATAATTCCATTCAATTTTATTTTCATATTTCGTTTACACCACGTTATGTGTAGACCTGGTGCTAGCTGAGGTATGCTGATAAAGTATGGCTAAGTACAAGCATGGGGCTAGCTGATGTATGCTGATAAAGTATGGCTAAGTACAAGCATGGGGCTAGCTGATTTATGCTGATAAAGTATGGCTAAGTACAAGCATGGGGCTAGCTGATGTATGCTGATAAAGTATGGCTAAGTACAAGCATGGGGCTAGCTGATGTATGCTGATAAAGTATGGCTAAGTACAAGCATGGGGCTAGCTAATTTATGCTGATAAAGTATGGCTAAGTACAAGCATGGGGCTAGCTGATGTATGCTGATAAAGTATGCCTAAGTACAAGCATGGTGCTAGCTGATGTATGCTGATAAAGTACGGCTGAGTACAAGCATAACGCTAGCTGATGTATGCTGATAAAGTATGTCTCAGTACAAGCATGGTGCTAGCTGATGTATGCTGATAAAGTATGTCTCAGTACAAACATAACGCTAGCTGATGTATGCTGATAAAGTATGGCTAAGTACAAGCATAACGCTAGTTGATGTATGCTGATAAAGTATGTCTCAGTACAAGCTTTGGGGCTAGCTGATGTATGCTGATAAAGTATGGCTAAGTACAAGCATGGGGCTAGCTGATGTATGCTGATAAAGTATGTCTCAGTACAAGCTTTGGGGCTAGCTGATGTATGCTGATAAAGTATGGCTAAGTACAAGCATGGGGCTAGCTGATGTATGCTGATAAAGTATGTCTCAGTACAAGCATTGGGGCTAGCTGATGTATGCTGATAAAGTATTGCTAAATACAAGCATGGCGCTAGCTGATGTATGCTGATAAAGTATGTCTCAGTACAAGCATGGCGCTAGCTGATGTATGCTGATAAAGTATGGCAAAATACAAGCATGGGGCTAGATGATGTATGCTGATAAAGTGTTTCTCAGTACAAGCATGGGGCTAGCTGATGTATGCTGATAAAGTACGTCTCAGTACAAGCATGACGTATTAAGGTTACCTGTGTGTCGTAAGGCCTGCCGTCATCACTTTTATTGCGTCATCACTCTCTGACGTCCCTCCTGACTCACGCCTAAAACCCTCATACGCTGGGGGAGGGGGGCTGAAGGCGTTAATGATCTGCAAGACAAAGACACGGATGATTAGCAAGGGCGTTATTTATCTTTAAAACAATAAACGTCACAGGTAATTAGCGTACAAGCAAATGAGTTGAAAAAAGGTTAATTAGTTTAGGCGTTGATTGGCAAGACAAATAAAGACACTAATGACAACGATTTCAAATCGTTTTTGATATTTGGTTGCTTCAACTGCACATTTGATAGCATATATAGGCAAGTGGATAGATTTACAATCAGTAGTGTCTGTTCTTTTTAGACCCTCAGTGATTTAGTAGGTTACTAGCTACAGTTTTGTTTTAATACTCCCTAATTTATTGATACTAATACCACATGTAATTTATTTAGTGGCAAAAAAAAGGTAATTAAATATTTACTCTAATATATTATGAAAATGAAAATAAGCACAATTAATATTCAAACATACAGATTTTAAATAATATCAGTGAATAATGGAAAGAATATAACTATTTCACAAAGTCACTTTTAATTATACATTTAATTCATTAACCATGGCCATGGATTTTATGGGTAAGAATGACTCAAAAAGGAATTAAGAGTACGAATTGTCAACTAGCTGTTAGCTTATTAATTTTAAAACTTTAAAATGCATCAATTTTGTTACTTTGTTACGCAAGAATGTAATTATTCATCTGCAATATATATATATATATATATATATATATATATATATATATATATATATATATATATATATATATATATATATATATATATATATATATATATACTAGAGGCTAATTAAATAGTATGACAACTGTGTTGTATTACATAATCCTCGTATTAAAGAAAAAAATCTATTTAATACATAATTCAGTCAAAATATGAAATATAATCAAGACTTTAAAATCGCTTTGGCTTAGCTATACATCTTCCTTCCTCTCCATTTCTACTTAGCTTCCAACAGTCACTAAATCCTAACCGGTCCCAGAAAAACCTGACACCCCTTGAGCCAAAACTAAATCTATTCCCAGGATACAGAAAGCTGGGTACCACTGTACAACAACGCTGTTAGTTTTTGTGAGCTCCGCAGGGAAACTCTCGCCACAGACCACAACCAAGCCACAACATCAAGATTAGAAGTAAAGAAAAACATGTTTTATTTGCAGGAAGTTTTGCAGATTCTTATAACAAGTGTATTATTATTCTGACAACTGGTTTTATTAAATTTTATACAGAAAGAAAATGCATGTACAATGTTATTAATGAACTGATTCCAGGAAAATTTTACAAAATTTATAAATTAAAATACATTTTATTTAATGTTTAAAACACATTATTAAATATTTTTTTTAAAAACTTTTGGTAATTTAAACTTTTAAAACAAAAAAATTCGAATTAAGTTTTTCCCACCGATTTTCCACCACAACATGAAGACGAGTGACATGACAAAAAAAAGTGTTCCCTTGTCCACTAGTTTCTAACAGTAAAAAAATGTTGAGATGAGCGTCCAACTCACCCAGGTGCAGTGTGGCTTTGAGAGCGATAGAGACATGTAGTAGAAAGGAAGAATTCTGAGCCCGCTGAGAGAATTCACCTTTCTAGTAAAAAGAACAATAACTTCTCAGACCAAGGGGGGCTTTTAGTTTTTTTTTTTTAATAAATAAAGCTAAGATTAAATCAGTGTTACGCTTGATTTATTTTTTGGCTAAAATATAATTAATTTGGTTTGTTACATTTATATAGTTTATTTTATATCAACTACGAAATTGAATATTTTTTTGTTTCTTTATACACATGTTGCGGACCGCGTTTCTTATTTATAATCACAAAAAAAAAAAAACAGAGCAAAAGAAAATATTGCTCAGTTTGTAGCAAGGAATGATTCATTAGAATTATTCTATAATGAGGTTCCGGCAATAGACACAAAGACAAGGGAAATGAAAATTTAATGTCATATTATTGTTATATGGTACAACAAAGACCTTAAATAGATTAACCCCGAGACGTTCATAAGTTAAGTTTTTCAATATCCGAGACATAGGTTCTTAAATGTATTGAAGACTAACGAGAGAAACTTAAGACCCTACTCGCTATACATGACAGACCAACACATCCGAAGTCCCCTAACTCTTAAGTAGACTTACCATATCAAGTTATGTGCCTTACTCTTATGATAAAACCAAGAGAACAACTATTATCCTATAACTCTTATGAAAACTCACCACAATAGTTAAGTCACATAACTCTTATGAGTAATAAAAAGAGGGTAGTGTTAGTCCTAAAAAAGAAAAGGAAATTACATGTGCAATAAACGTTTCGAACTATTAAATCTCACAAGATCAGCTTAAGTCCCTTAATTTTTATGAAAAATCACAAGAACAGCATAAGTCCCATAACTCTTATGAAAAGTCACCACAACAGTTACGTCCCCTAACTCCTATGAAGACACTAGAACAGTTAAGTCCCCTAACCCTCCTGTATACATAATTGAAGTCCCCTAACCCTCCTGTAGACATAACTAAGTCCCCCACCCCCTGTGAACACTCACCCATGTCATATCAGGGCGTGGCAGCGTACGTGTCATACCGTGTGGGTGTCGTGTCCAGCTGACACCCCACCGTCCACCAACCACAGCCGGACGGAACTTAACACACGACACATACCAACTACTACCCTCCGACTCACCCTCAGGGAACACGCTGGTCACATTGTGTCAGAAATATAACAACACACCGTCCCACCGTCCTACACAGACGTCACACAACCACCAAGTCCGATGCTCAACCGTTAAAGAAGAAGTCGCCCAAAGTTAACAAACTCAAACAGAAGATTGGCTTTTGAAGGCTTTTAACCTTTGAACTATTTCATAATCTCTAGGTCAATTTGATGGTTTAAAAAAGTCTAGACAGCATCAAAGTCATCTAGAATCTTTTCTTGACTTAAGTAGGTGGATTTAAAAAAAAAACGAATTTTCTCCTTAAAATTGTCTTATTTGCTTTCTGTGGTAATTTAAACACTAGTTAGGTCTTGACACCACGAGATAATTCAGCAGGTAACAGGTTCAGTATACCCAACGTTTGTCTAATTCAGTAGGTAACAGGTTCAGTAAAGCACACGATTCTCTAATTCAGCGGGTAACAGTTTCAGTATACCCAACGTTTGTCTAATTCAGCAGGTAACAGGTTCAGTAAAGAACACGATTCTCTAATTCAGCGGGTAAAAGGGTCAGTATACCCAACGTTTGTCTAATTCAGCAGGTAACAGGTTCAGTAAAGAACACGATTCTCTAATGTCTTTCCACAAAGCTCAATTTAACTAATCCGGAAAAGCTGTGAATAACGATACAAAGCAGGCCTTATGTTCAAAACTTGAAAACTGAACATTAAGAACGTAATGTCAGAACGATACATGAATCGGGGTACTAATAATGCGCATTGGTGTCCATTTTAGAATCATTTTATCATTTTGTGTGTTTGATATTAAACAGGTGGAAATATAAAACAGCGACTTTAAAAAACTAAATGAATAAATCCGAGATTTTGGAAAGAATAAAGCGAATGAAACACAATATACCTTTGGTGAATTTAAACACAAAATTGAGTGAAAACAATTGTTTTACTTTTAAGACGTTAACAATTCGATCTTTAACATTAACATACGATACAAGGAATTAGACTTTAAATGTGTCTATAGTTACACAATTTGATCTCCAACTTAAAAAAAAAATCCCGGATGCGAAGGATAGGACGTGACTATTGTCTGTACCTCGTGACCAGACTCTGCTATTATGCAAATTTTTTATGCTGACATCTCTCACTTGATTGGGGGCAGGGTAAATAAACCGGGGGCGTCTTAGAGAAATCGTGCATTTCTATAGTTTAGTCAAGTTGTGGGTGTGGGGTGGGGGGGACGACGACAGACGAGTAGGTAAGTGCGTGTGTGTGTGGTGTATGGGTGCGTGTTTGATTAAGCTGGGGTAGGTAGTGACATAGGTGCAGTAGAATATCGTGTTTCGTCAACTGGGTGGATATGAACTAATTTATAATGAGATGCAATGGTAAATAGTTTTCATTTTTTGCGCAGCGGGCTAAAGATAATATTTAACCAGGCTGGTTACCATAGAGAATCAAAGGTTGTCATGGAGATGAAGTGCTTTTGCGAGTGTCCAACGTACGAGGGATGAAAGGACTGCACTGTTCATTAAAGATCGCTATGTAATGACAGCGGTGAATAAATGAGAATAAGTTAAAATGTTTTGAGCATTCACGTAAGTATCTAGGTTAGGTTAAACAGAAAGAAAACTATGGTGAAGCGTACATTTACTCGCACGTGATAATTAATTAACCAAAGAGGTTAATTAACGATATTGTCTTAAGTCAGGTGTAAGTACGTTAGATTCTGATCTGGCCATGATTTTTATATTGTGGCCAAGCTGCACCATCAGGATGTAGCTGTATGAACAATTTGGCCAAGAGTAGAAACGGGTGTATGTAACTACAAAGGGTCTTCTTGATGTATATGTTTTAAAGTTATATCCACATGCTCTCACTATAGTCAGTTTTTCAATGAACTGCAGCGTGTTACAGGTATATCTAAGGATGGGGGGGGGGGGAGGTAGGAGGAGGACACCCCGCATCCGTAACACAGCCACCCCCGCCTTTTACGAAGTAGAAAAACAAATTAATTTAGAAAATAAATATTTTAACCCTTGACCCCTCTCTTTCAGAGAGGGGGGGGGGGGTGTCAAGTGCTCCCCCCCCCCGAAAGTTTCAAATGTATACCCCAACCTCATGAAAAATGTCTTAAATAAGTCCTGTTAAAATGGCCGCATGAAATCACTATGGCCAATATGTTTCAATGCGTTGGCCATATGTGACATTATGTCATATGTTTCAATGTCCGTAACAAATAATGATATTTCAGCCAGTGGCGTCGATAGGTCGGATTTCGCCCGGTGCAGCACTTCGTAGCGTCCGCCCCCCCCCCCCCTAAATGGTGTCACCCAGTGCGGTCCGCACCCCTTCGCCCCGCCCTCGCTAC